CATGAGACTGGATGAGTTTACTCCACAGTTGCGTGACGTAAGCTAGGAGGTCCCCTGTGGATCGTTGGTGCCGGAAACCGTACTGCCTGTCGCTAATCAAGCTGTGACGTTCGAGGTAGTCCAGAAGCTCGCGATTTATGCACCTCTCCATCACTTTACTTATAACAGAAAGCAGAGCTATAGGCCTGTAGTTGTAAGGGTCGGTTTTAGATCCTTTGTTTTTTTTTTTTTTTTTTTTTTTTTTTTTTTTTTTTTTTTTTAAGGTGTCTATCTTTGGGATTCTTCTACAAAATATTGGGCAATCCTCCAAACCTAGGGAGACCAGCCGTTTTTGATGGAAAAAATGGTTTCAGTCCCTAGTTTTACAGAAAAGAAATGGAACTGAAAATGAGCGCAAATATGAAAGTTCTGAAATTTATTACTATATAATAGGTTTGTATTGAATGTTTGTTTTCATAGGTTGTGCGATGTTGCCAGATTTTATTACTTCATAGGTTTTCGTGTTGTATATATTTTTAATAATTAAATTGGTATTTACGACTTCGAACTCCACAGCCCTACATAAAGTCATATGTACTAGGGATGTGCTCTGCTCACGCGCGCCGCGACTCAAAGCGGAAGACATTCTAGACTAAAACGAAGCTGCTACGCATGGAAATGCATATTTTTATTAATTTTCTTCGATACGACAACGTCGCGGTTCCATTCTGAAAATGTCATGGTTAAGAAGGCTTATATACCTTTCACCCTACTGAGCGAGGGCCGTGGCAAATGCTTGTTCCGGAAGTTGTTGTATCCAGTATACAACTTCTTCCCGTCCAAGTGATTGTGCACGCGTTAAGGAATACCTCAGTACCGATTGCCGGGTGGCGGTACAAGTCCGCCAACGGGCCACTTTAGGTCTATTTAACATCACTAACACGTAAAAAGAAGGTGGTAGACAAGGACCAGTCCACCGAGGCAGTACCACCCGCTAGCTTTTCCCAGGGTGTCTTATAAATGTCCGCATGTTTCCACACCTAAGCTATGCAGTCGGTTATCTGCCAAAACAAAGAAATTAATGATGATGGACCCCTCGAGCACTAAAAACTCCGGACGTAAACTCACTCCACTCTCGGAATGTCCGGGTGGAGGGTGGGCTCGAGGGAACAACATCGAAGATAAAATTTGTTTTTCGAACATCTGCGGGATCAACAGCAACATTGATGCTGTTCATCACTACCTGCAATCGAATCGTCCCGCCGTGCTTTTCTTGGCGGAGACAAAAATCTTAGAGACTGCATCGATTAACCATCTCAACTTCCCAAACTACGAGGTGCACTCCAATCTGAGAAAGAACGGGGGAGTTGTGGCTTTTGTCCGCAGCAGTCTTTCCTGCTCCAGGGATCTTTCTTTGGAATCAGACCGGAAGGACATTCTGTGGCTTCGCCTCAACTCCAAAACATCACCCAAATTTATTTGCTGCCTTTAATCGCTCTCCCTCGAACCATAACTGGGATGACCTACTCGAATACCTCGCCGTCCAGATCGACTTCCTGAACATCAATCACCCCGCTTCAGAGGTAGTTCTTCTCGGTCGAAGTGTTCGCTCTTACTCAAGGGCTCACCCAGCTGGTGACGAGCCCTACTTTTTTCCCCCGCGTCTCGTCACACGCCAGTAGCCTGCTGGATCTCTTTCTGACCACGCATCCTGCCCCTTACAGCACTGTTGTCCTGTCCCCCCTGGGTAACTCAGATCACGGTGTTGTGGAGGTTAGGTTTCGGTCAGAAGCCGCTGTGGCAGCAGAAACTCGCACAGGCCGCAAAACTTGGCATTACGGACATGCCGACTGGGAGGGGCTCAGAGACTTCTTCTCTAGCTTTCCTTGGAGAGATGTCTGTTTCACTGACGCGGATGCGCCGACTGTCTGTTCTTCAATAACCGAAATTATCCACGTCGGAATGGAGGAATACATTCCTCACACAGTGAAAGTTCCTAAACCAGGGCTGGTTCAACAAATCGTGTGACACTGCTCGCCAGCAGAAGATCAAGGCCCACAGAACCTACTTACAAAATCCCACTGTAGAGAACAGACAAGCCGACGTCGAGTCCAGAAACAAATATAACGAAGCGGTTCGCAATGCCAAAAACCAGCATGATATAAAAGTTAGGCACAGGGTAATGTCGCAGCGAAATGGCAGTCGGTCTTTCTGGACGCTGACCAAGCAGATTGAAAAGAACTTCTCACACAGTAGCCTTCCACCACTTACGTGTCAGGATGGAACTATTGTATTCGACTCAAAGGCCAAGGCGGAAGTGCTAACCAAGATCTTTGCTGCCAACTCCACCATGGACGTCCCCACCAACGCCCAAGTGCCGTCAATTCAAAGGGTTCCCCACACTATGCGGGAGGTAACATTCAGGCATAAGACCGTAAGACGAGTGCTTTTGTCGCTCGAAATCAACAAAGCTTCTGGTCCGGACTTGATTCCTGCCATTGTACTGAAGAGATGTGCAGCGGAGCTTGCTCCAGTTCTTTCGCGTCACTTCCAGATATCTTATGAATCCGGCACCTTCCCAGAAAACTGGAAATTTGCTCATGTACAGCCCATCCCAAAAAAAGGATCTAAGACCGACCCTTACAACTACAGGCCTATAGCTCTGCTTTTTGTTATAACTAAAGTGATGGAGAGGTGCATAAATCGCGAGCTTCTGGACTACCTCGAACGTCACAGCTTGATTAGCGACAGGCAGTACGGTTTCCGGCACCAACGATCCACAGGGGACCTCCTAGCTTACGTCACGCAGCTGTGGAGTAAACTCATCCAGTCTCATGGTGAGGCTCATGTCGTCGCTCTTGACATCACGAAAGCGTTCGATCAGCTGTGGCACGCTGCCCTCTTGAGCAAACTTCCATCCTATGGCCTCCCAGAAAAGCTTTGCAGATGGGTGGCTGACTTTATCTCTGGCCGCAAGATATCCGTCGTAATTGACGGATTCTCCTCTTCATCCCACAACGTCAACGCGGGTGTTCCCCAGGGATCGGTCTTGGCCCCAACACTGTTTCTCTTACATATCAACGACCTCCTTTCCTGCACGATCAACCCAATCCACAGCTTCGCTGATGACAGCACTCTACATGCAGGAATTCAGAGTGACAAGCCGATCTCTGCCGCTGAGCTGGAAAAAAGAAGACTAGCGACGACTTCCTCTCTGACAAGAGACCTGGAGGCTATCACTGCTTGGGGACGCAACAATCTTGTACAGTTCAATGCTTCCAAAACACAGTACTGTACTTTGACGAACAAAAAGCGTCCTAGCGCTCATACAGTTTCGATGGACGGTCGAGTTCTACCAAAGAGCCATTCATTTCGGCTGGTCGGAGTCCAGATCACCGAGGACCTGATCTGGCACGAACACATCTCTTCAATAGCTGCAGCTGCTGGGAAAAAGCTAGGCTATTTGTTTAGGGCTAAAAAGTACTTTTCTCCGCATGACCTTCTCACTCTATACAAGGCCCAGATAAGGCCTAGCCTCGAGTATTGCTCACATATTTGGGGTGCTGCCGCCCCGACTACATTGTCCATGCTCGATGCTGTCCAGAGGAGGTCGGTCCGACTGATCGATGACTCTTCTCTAACAGACAGTCTCGGGACTCTTTCGCGCCGGCGGGTCGTCGGCGATCTAGCTCTTTTCTATCGCTACACCAACGGGCTTTGCTCCTCAGAGCTCTATTCCATGATGACACCGCGCGATGTGCCTGCCGGACAGACCCGCCTGACTTCGGCGTCCCATCCTAACTGTGTCAAACTTCGTACATCCAGAACTGGCCGATACGACCGCTCCTTTGTCCCGAGGGTGTCTAGATTGTGGAACAATCTACGGGAGGAAGCTTTTCCCAGTTCTACTAACCTTAGGCAGTTCAAACATCGTATTAACAAAATTTCTTTGGGATCATCATAGCAGCCGCGATGTTCCGGCATTTAGGCTTCTGCCTGCGCGGCTGTTTCGATATAAAAAAAAAACCATTTAAACTGGGTGTTCGGATTTATATGTCACTTAGTATATTTTTAAACTTACCCTGTATACCGCAGTTTCATTAATATTAAATAGGGAAAAATTATAATAGATTGAGGTAAACTACTTCACGAAGGCAAATGTCAAAGCTTCTCTGTCAAGATCGGGGTGTAATAATAAACAGTATAATGAGTTAATGTTTTATTTTACACATTTTTTACAAATTATGTAATTCGATGATTGACCATGCACACTACGTTCGCTCGTACTAAACATATCAGTATTGTATTTTGGGAAAATCCTGTCTTTTTGTACTGAATACTTTAAATCACAAATAAACACACATATATGTACATGGATCTATCGGTTAGGCGTACAATAATCTTTTTAACAACAATGTTCGTTGGACACGCAATAAAAAAACACAACATGTATGTGATGGAGCATTCGATTGAATTGATATCAAAACCGTTTTACAGTCCGCAAGATTATTGAGTGATTCTTTCATAGATGGACGTTCACAACGATCCTAGTGAGCAAACGTGGAATGACTGTTTGCGCCCTAAAAACTACCTAGTCTGCGAGTTGACATCTTATAGGTTTTTTTGACGTTTTGTAGGTTTTTTACATGATACTTTTGTTACTGGTACGTGCCATCTTTTCATGTACATCTGCAGACTGGTGAACAGTGGAAAAACAGTTTGGATGACAAAAGACGGTAACTATTAAAATACTCCCACTTCGATGTACATGACGGTCCACCAAGTTCCACACGAACGTTACGATTTTGTAGAACCTCTTGTGTTTGTTAAATTAGACCATAAAAATGTGTACTTTCACGTATCATAGAATAGGTTTGCTTACGGGAAAATAAACCTCAAGTTAGGCCTCACATTTCGTACATATTCTAATAATCTACAAGAACTATTCTGGTATACGTTGATTTGATTTTAAAACCGTTGGTACCTATACGTATATCAATGAACAAATATGTCAGTATACATTTGATACTACATTTTCCAACAAGAACTTAAATCGTCACTACATTATTCATTATTCTCATGGAGGGTACTTGTCAAAACACTTATTTATTACAAAATTTCGTGATACCATGTCAAAATTTATCTCCTCCGATTTGCGACCATTTATGCAAGCGAAATGTGTTCATGAACAACGCTCGACAGAGGCGTCGTATACAAAGAAAGCTAAATTTGTCGTGAGAAGTGTGTATCAACACATATTAGAAAGAAATAGAAGCCGGCTCAAGAGCGAAGGTAATCACCACATTGCCTAGCAACGGCGACGCAGAAGGTCAATGCAGTGTGACGCGTTGCTAATATGTTACACCACAAAATGTTTGCACGCGCTTCTAAAATAGGTTAGGTCACTGTCCAACCTAAGATAGAGCTCCGTTCGAATATCTATTAGTTTGTTTTCATTTTGACCAGAATTATCTGTTTCAATTTTGATGCGACTTGTGTTTTAATTTATTTTGAAATTATCTTCGATTTCCACCGATGGTGATAAAATCAACACATTTTGAGTTATCGTTAAGCCAGAACGACACTCCCCAATGGGTACTGACCAAAATCGCTCATCTATGATCATGGAGGTGGAAACCTTGCCTTGGAATGTACAAGATGCGGTGTTACCAAGCGAATCAATGATGCAATGTTGCAAAATTTGTGACGATCCAGACCTAAAATGGAGCCATCCAGAATCGATCTTCATTTTGACCAGAATTATCTATTTCAATTTTGATGCGACCTGTGTTTTAATTTATTTTGAAATTATCTTCGATTTTCACCGATTATGATGAAATCAACACATTTTGAGTTATTGTTAGGTGAAAACCATTTCGAACCAGGACGACACTCCCCAATGAGCGTTAGATGGGTACTGACCAAAATCGCTCGTCCTTGATCATGGAGGTGGAAACCTTGCCTTGGAATGTACAAGATGCGGTGTTACCAAGCGAATCAATGATGCAATGTTGCAAAATTTGTGGCGATCCAGACCTAAATGGAGCCATCCAGAATCGATCTTCATTTTGACCAGAATTATCTATTTCAATTTTGATGCGACTTGTGTTTTAATTTATTTTGAAATTATCTTCGATTTCCACCGATGATGATGAAGTCAACACATTTTGAGTTATCTTTAGGTAAAAACCATTTCAAACCAGGACGACACTCCCCAATGAGCGTTAGATGGGTACTGACCAAAATCGCTTGTCTATGATCATGGAGGTGGAAACCTTGCCTTGGAATGTACAAGATGCGGTGTTACCAAGCGAATCAATGATGCAATGTTGCAAAATTTGTGGCGATCCAGACCTAAAATGGAGCCATCCAGAATCGATCTTCATTTTGACCAGAATTATCTATTTCAATTTTGATGCGACTTGTGTCTTAATTTATTTTGAAATCATCTTCGATTTCCACCGATGGTGATGAAATCAACACATTTTGAGTTATCTTTAGGTGAAAACCATTTCAAACCAGGACGACACTCCCCAATGAGCGTTAGATGGGTACTGACCAAAATCGCTCGTCCTTGATCATGGAGGTGGAAACCTTGCCTTGGAATGTACAAGATGCTGTGTTACCAAGCGAATCAATGATGCAATGTTGCAGAATTTGTGGCGATCCAGACCTAAAATGGAGCCATCCAGAATCGATCTTCATTTTGACCAGAATTATCTATTTCAATTTTGATGCGACTTGTACTTTAATTTATTTTGAAATTATCTTCGATTTCCACCGATGTGATGAAATCAACACATTTTGAGTTATCTTTAGGTAAAAACCATTTCAAACCAGGACGACACTCCCCAATGAGCGTTAGATGGGTACTGACCAAAATCGCTCGTCTATGATCATGGAGGTGGAAACCTTGCCTTGGAATGTACAAGATGCGGTGTTATCAAGCGAATCAATGATGCAATGTTGCAAAATTTTTGGCGATCCAGACCTAAAATGGAGCCATCCAGAATCGATCTTCATTTTGACCAGAATTATCTATTTCAATTTTGATGCGACTTGTGTTTTAATTTATTTTGAAATTATTTTCGATTTTCACCGATTATGATGAAATCAACACATTTTGAGTTAGCTTTGGGTAAAAACCATTTCAAACCAGGACGACACTCCCCAATGAGCGTTAGTTGGGTACTGACCAAAATCGCTCGTCTATGATCATGGAGGTGGAAACCTTGCCTTGGAATGTACAAGATGCGGTGTTATCAAGCGAATCAATGATGCAATGTTGCAAAATTTTTGGCGATCCAGACCTAAAATGGAGCCATCCAGAATCGATCTTCATTTTGACCAGAATTATCTATTTCAATTTTGATGCGACTTGTGTTTTAATTTATTTTGAAATTATTTTCGATTTTCACCGATTATGATGAAATCAACACATTTTGAGTTAGCTTTGGGTAAAAACCATTTCAAACCAGGACGACACTCCCAATGAGCGTTAGATGGGTACTGACCAAAATCGCTCGTCTATGATCATGGAGGTGGAAACCTTGCCTTGGAATGTACAAGATGCGGTGTTATCAAGCGAATCAATGATGCAATGTTGCAAAATTTGTGGCGATCCAGACCTAAAATGGAGCCATCCAGAATCGATCTTCATTTTGACCAGAATTATCTATTTCAATTTTGATGCGACTTGTGTTTTAATTTATTTTGAAATTATCTTCGATTTTCACAGATTATGATGAAATCAACACATTTTGAGTTATCTTTGGGTAAAAACCATTTCAAACCAGGACGACACTCCCCAATGAGCGTTAGATGGGTACTGACCAAAATCGCTCGACTATGATCATGGAGGTGGAAACCTTGCCTTGGAATGTACAAGATGCGGTGTTACCAAGCGAATCAATGATGCAATGTTGCAAAATTTGTGGCGATCCAGACCTAAAATGGAGCCATCCAGAATCGATCTTCATTTTGACCAGAATTATCTATTTCAATTTTGATGCGACTTGTGTTTTAATTTATTTTGAAATTATCTTCGATTTTCACCGATTATGATGAAATCAACACATTTTGAGTTATCTTTAGGTAAAAACCATTTCAAACCAGGACGACACTCCCCAATGAGCGTTAGATGGGTACTGACCAAAATCGCTCGTCCTTGATCATGGAGGTGGAAACCTTGCCTTGGTATGTACAAGATGCGGTGTTACCAAGCGAATCAATGATGCAATGTTGCAAAATTTGTGGCGATCCAGACCTAAAATGGAGCCATCCAGAATCGATCTTCATTTTGACCAGAATTATCTATTTCAATTTTGATGCGACTTGTGTTTTAATTTATTTTGAAATTATCTTCGATTTTCACCGATTATGATGAAATCAACACATTTTGAGTTATCTTTGGGTAAAAAACCATTTCAAACCAAGACGACACTCCCCAATGAGCGTTACATGGATACTGACCAAAATCGCTGGTCTATGATCATGGAGGTGGAAACCTTGCCTTGGAATGTACAAGATGCGGTGTTACCAAGCGAATCAATGATGCAATGTTGCAGAATTTGTGGCGATCCCGACCTAAAATGGAGCCATCCAGAATCGATCTTCATTTTGACCAGAATTATCTATTTCAATTTTGATGCGACTTCTGTTTTAATTTATTTTGAAATTATCTTCGATTTCCACCGATTATGATGAAATCAACACATTTTGAGTTATCTTTAGGTAAAACCATTTCAAACCAGGACGACACTCCCCAATGAGCGTTAGATGGGTACTGACCAAAATCACTCGTCCTTGATCATGGAGGTGGAAACCTTGCCTTGGAATGTACAAGATGCGGTGTTACCAAGCGAATCAATGATGCAATGTTGCAAAATTTGTGGCGATCCAGACCTAAAATGGAGCCATCCAGAATCGATCTTCATTTTGACCAGAATTATCTATTTCAATTTTGATGCGACTTGTGTTTTAATTTATTTTGAAATTATCTTCGATTTTCACCGATTATGATGAAATCAACACATTTTGAGTTATCTTTGGGTAAAAACCATTTCAAACCAAGACGACACTCCCCAATGAGCGTTACATGGATACTGACCAAAATCGCTGGTCTATGATCATGGAGGTGGAAACCTTGCCTTGGAATGTACAAGATGCGGTGTTACCAAGCGAATCAATGATGCAATGTTGCAGAATTTGTGGCGATCCCGACCTAAAATGGAGCCATCCAGAATCGATCTTCATTTTGACCAGAATTATCTATTTCAATTTTGATGCGACTTCTGTTTTAATTTATTTTGAAATTATCTTCGATTTCCACCGATTATGATGAAATCAACACATTTTGAGTAATCTTTAGGTAAAAACCATTTCAAACCAGGACGACACACCCCAATGAGCGTTAGATGGGTACTGACCAAAATCGCTCGTCGATCATGGAGGTGGAAACCTTGCCTTGGAATGTATAAGATGCGGTGTTACCAAGCGAATCAATGATGCAATGTTGCAGAATTTGTGACGATCCAGACCTAAAATGGAGCCATCCAGAATCGATCTTCATTTTGAGCAGAATTATCTATTTCAATTTTGATGCGACTTGTGCTTTAATTTATTTTGAAATTATCTTCGATTTCCACCGATGGTGAAGAAATCAACACATTTGAGTTATTGTTAGGTGAAAACCATTTCAAACCAGGACGACACTCCCCAACGAGCGTTAGATGGGTACTGACCAAAATCGCTTGTCTATGATCATGGAGGTGGAAACCTTGCCTTGGAATGTACAAGATGCGGTGTTACCAAGCGAATCAATGATGCAATGTTGCAGAATTTGTGGCGATCCAGACCTAAAATGGAGCCATCCAGAATCGATCTTCATTTTGACCAGAATTATCTATTTCAATTTTGATGCGACTTGTGCTTTAATTTATTTTGAAATTATCTTCGATTTCCACCGATGGTGATGAAATCAACACATTTTGAGTTATTGTTAGGTGAAAACCATTTCAAACCAGGACGACACTCCCCAATGAGCGTTAGATGGGTACTGACCAAAATAGCTCATCTATGATCATGGAGGTGGAAACCTTGCCTTGGAATGTACAAGATGCGGTGTTACCAAGCGAATCAATGATGCAATGTTGCAGAATTTGTGGCGATCCCGACCTAAAATGGAGCCATCCGGAATCGATCTTGAACAGATTCCACCCAATTCACAATTAAAAAATGCGTACGTTCAAAACAAGACCGTTATTTGGGCGTAGAGAATAAACTAAGCAGATATTCAACTTGCATCTTAATTCAAGGAATTGATGATGAGCTTCGCTATATCTCCGGTTTCTATCTCTTTCTAACATATGTGTCTATACACACCGACAAATTTGGTTCTCAGTGTAGACAGTTATTTGTGATCAATCAGAATAATAACTGATGTCCCATCGTACGTATCACCTGCTTAAGGATCACATAGCAAATTGTTACGCAAAGCCGTGGATTACACAGCCTAGCAAGAAAGAAATATTTCTAGGACGCAGCCCGCACTGTAAACCAAATTGAGTTACCTATAAACCATCAAAAATATAAGTTCGACAGTTCAAGTCCAAAAATTTTTGTTTATAACAAGCCAAAATTGAAACAGCTCATGTTACATCTCACATACGAGGGGTGTCTCAAAAATAAGATTCCCAACTCAGTATCTTCTATCTCACGATGCTAGGCGAAATCTGGCAACGCCGTCGTGTTTGTCGACTCCCCACCATCGAACAACAAGCGCCTATTTGCGATGCTCAGTACTGGCCCGACGGCCATGCGCAATCGAGCTTTTCATCGCCGTTACCGTCAGGTGCGAAATCAAAAATTCCTTGTGCCTGAAAAAGTGTGGGAACCTTATTTTTTGGAATAACCCTAAGTGGTTGCATATACTTCGTGCGCCTTCTAGTCCACTAGACCCAACAGACTGACGACGGATACCGACTTTGCAATTACTATAACCTAAAGGCTGAGGTGTCTCGGACAGCCTTGACAGAAGGTACGACGAATAGTATTGTCGAACTCAAATCGCTTGCATGAATGTCATCAACTGGCCAAAAAAGACATGAGATTATTTATCAGAACAAAAAGTCGACAGCAATGAAAATGATCAATAAGGTATATTATTTCCAGTTACTATTATTTTCATTTGTCTGTTCTACATTGTATATCGCTGGTGTACGTAGGCGGTCCGATAAGTACTTAGCCTATAAAAGAAATACGAAACTTTTTTAAAAGTGGCGATTTATTTCTTCTTCTTTTTCTTCTTTCTTTAACCCGTCTGAAAAATACGTTTTTTGAAGGTTTGCAAAGTAAGCCTCTGTAGCGGCGATAACCTCCTCATTCGACTCAAATCGCTGCCAGGCGAATGAATTTTTCAAGTTTGGAACCAAAAAGTCGCCGGGGCCAAATCTGGAGAATACGGTGGACGGGGCAGCAGTTCGTTGCCTAATCATAGTGGACGAGCACTTTTTCTTCGCCAAATGGGACCGTTTTATCTGCAATTCGGCGTCAAGTCGGCCCAATAGTTCATAGAACCTTGTGACCGTTTTACCCTTCTAGAGGTAGTCATGTAGATCACACCTTGTGAATCCCAGAAAACGGCGGCCATCACCTTTCCGGTCGATAGGACAGTCTTCACCTTCTTCAAAGCACGTTCGCCACTGTTTGGCTGTTCCTTGATCTCTGGTATGTACCCTTGGTTCCATGCTTTGTCGGCAGCCACGAAACGATGCAGAAACCCATACGGATTGCGCCTAAACAGCGCCAAACACTGCTCTGAAGGCGTTGTCCTCCGTGGTAGCCGTTTTCGGGGTACCTGGACGTGGCTCATAGAAAACCGACATGCGACCACGTTGAAACTCGATGTAGATATCACCTTGTGAATCTCAGAAAACGGTGGCAATCACCTTTCCGGTCGATAGGACAGTTTTTGCCTTTTCCAGAGCACGTTCGACACTGTTTCGACTGTTCCTTGATCTCTGGTGTGTACCAATGGATCCATGCTTCGTTGACAGTCACGGAACGATGCAGAAACCCCTACGGATTGCGCTTAAACAGCGCCAAACACTGCTCTGGAGGGGTCTCATGGTTGTTGTCGCGCGGACATCTTTCTCATGTACAATATTTTACGCAGGATGTCCCACGCGGTCTTTTGAGATGCCTAGTACCTCAGCTACCTCGCGCACCTTTAATCGGCGGTCTGCTAATACGAGATCGTGGATTTTTGTCGCGTTGTCCTCCGTAGTAGCCGTTTTCGGGGTACCTGGACGTGGCTCATCGATAACCGACGTACGATCACGTTAGAACTCGGTAAACCAATTTTGACGGTCGCCATCGAAGGAGAGCATCCAAGTGCTCTTTGATTTCGCTGAGCGATTTCCCTTCCGAAAACAAGAATCGAATCACCGACCGATATTGCCCTATTTTCATTGTTCTAAAATCCGCGGACACTCCCGCTTCCACGCGCGGTCTAAACAAAACTACTAGTCCGATTCGACTGAAATTTTGACAGTAGCCTTAGACCAAGTACTTATCGGACCGCCATCGTAATTCATTTCTTCGGCCAGTTGAATGCCGAATCCTACCCTTATTGCTAAATACGATAACCACCACCGTTTCATGCGTTGCTCCGAAGAAAATGTCTAGAGTGGTGTCAAGTAAAACTCGTTGATGATTGGTTCGTCGAGATGGTAGCTTGGTCACCGCACCCTGCCGGAAGGCGACCGCAGATGCGACCTGATGTACCCTGTGCGGTAGTCCATTACGGGGGCCCGGTGAGAGCTCTGCGATCCCCTACGGCTTCTTCGGCTCCATCTGTAGGAACATACATTTGACGATCAAATATACTAAGTGACATATAAATCCGAACACCCAGTTTAAATGGTTTTATTTTAATAAAAGTTGGTGAATGTATTTATCTTACTGTAAATAACAAGTGAAAAAATTTTCAGCCTTATCAGTTGGACATTCCGGTTTTTATACTGCTTTTCTTTAATTCACTAACGCTCTAAAAATGAATATTTCAGCCGCAGTAAAGAATCAACGTTGGCGGATTTTGGTTCTTGACATCCTTTACGATCGGTTACGATGCTTAGAGTAGGGAGACCTGTACGATTTCGTCAACTTAGTGAGTTTGATAGGGGCCGTATAGTGGGACTTCGGGAAGCTGGACTTTCTTTTCGGGCAATTGCAGTTAGAGTGCAAAGAAGTGTAGACACTGTGGTTAGGTGTTGTCAGGCATGGCTTCGAGAAGGCCGTACGCAAAGAGCAAGGGGCACTGGACGCCGCCGTAGAACAACAGACCGTGAAGATCGCCGCCTAAGATTATTGGCCTTAAGGGACCGTTTCTCCACTGCTAGGTCCATTGCAAATGAATGGTTTGCAGAACACGGAAGACCTATTGGCATGCGAAGTGTTTCCCGACGAATGAGAAGTTTTGGCTTGTTTTCATACCGGCCACACTGGGTCCTCCCTTTAACTCGAGAACATGGTTCCAGGTCACCTTTAATCTTCATCAGAGGTAACATGAACGCGCAGCGTTATATCCACGAAGTTCTAGAACCCCATCTTTTACCCTATCTTGACACCCTGGCAGATCCAACTTTCCAACAAGATAATGCCCGACCACATGTTGCAAGAGTCACAATAGACTTCTTTCAACATAATGATGTCACATTGTTACCATGGCCACCAAGATCTCCCGACTTATCCCCAATTGAGCACGTGTGGGACATGATGGATAGGAGATTGCTCAATTTGCAACGTCCTCCTCAGACTCTAGAAGCACTTCGAGAGGAGTTGGTGGTTGCCTGGAATGAGATACCACAGGAGGACATTGACCACCTGATCAGAAGCATGCCTAGGCGCGTTGGAGAATGCGTAGCACATCAGGGTGCATCCACACATTATTAAAGGTCAAAGGGCTTTAAAGCAGTGCAATCATTTTGAATTTTTTATCATTTACTTATTATGCTTCATTAAGTACTTATACAAAATTTTATTAAAATAAAACCATTTAAACTGGGTGTTCGGATTTATATGTCACTTAGTATATAATAAGGAGAAAACTATATTGGTTTTTCAAATTAAGATTTAGAGTAATCAATGGTAATGCTCATTACATATAAAAAAATGCACGATCTATATTGTCGGTACGTTGAGTACGAGGGCGGTCCGGTAAGTACTTTTACGTAGATGGCTACTGTCAAAATTTCAGCCGAATCGAACTCGTGGGTTTGTTTGGGTACGAACTGCTGCCTCATCCACCGTATTCTCCAGATTTGGCACCGTGTGACGTCTCTTTGTTTCCAAACTTGATTCACTCGCTGGGCGGAAATTTAAGTCGAATGAGGAAGTTATCGCCGCCACGGAGACCTACTTTGTAGACCTCAGAAAACGTATTTTTCAGATGGGTTAAAGGAGTTGAAGCATCGCTGGGCCACGTGCATCGAGCATAAGGAAGACTATATTGAGAAATACCCAAAATTTTCGTTTTTCTTCTGTAGGCTTAGTACTTATCGAACCGCCCTCGTATATCGTCATTCTACCATTTAGGCACCTCATACTATAATATAAGATACTAATGATTATGGATAATGATATCAACCTTTTGGAAGTTTTATTTAGCGTAAATCATTTCGTTTTCTGGCATGAAAAAATGTTACGCCGTTTCTCGTTATCGCTTATCATCAAACATTTTGCTTCTGAAGTAGCTATTTTATATACCCACAGAGGAATATCGAATCATGTATATTAATGAAAAAGTTCAGATACATGACGTTCGTGCTTCAAAAACATTTCGTATATTGATGTTAAATAAACCGCAACTATCAACATGGTATACTTATCTATAAAATCCTCGTGACAAGAAAAAATGGAAGAGCAGGCTCACGTACTGTCTATTTCTAATATACTATAAATCTATCTATTTGATATAGAAAATGCTATATATATATGTATATCTACTGTGTTATTATACCTCAACGTGAACAGTCATGTAACATGATCCAATTCTTCAACTTTTGGAACCTAAACCTCAATAAATTAATTTTATAATGATAATATTAATAATAATAATAATAATTCGGCTTTATTTATATAAAGTATGAAAAGGCCAAGTGTCGCTAAAAAAGCGTTTGAACTGTGCAAAAATGAATTTGATATGAATTAAAATAACGTAAGAACCGTTGTTTGTCTCCTTTCAAAATATGTTTTCGCGCAAGGTCTAATTTTAAATGTTTTAATACAAATTTATTGAAAAAATGTTTTGCTGAAGGTAAATTCCAATACGGTTCCAAAGATCTATAGTTCTATCTAATTAGTTTGAAAATATCGTAATTGTAATTAGTCTTTATGTACAGGGTGCTCAACTAGGAATGAAAGGTACTATATCTGGGAACCAACCGGGAAAATATTTTCGAGTTTCTGGAATGTCCGCTAGGGGGTGTAACTGCAATCCTGAATCTGAAAAAATGATGTTGTAAATTCCGCTATATTAACCTAAAAAATGCTCGATCCTTAAAGTCAAGGATAATGTGAACTTTTTGTTTGTATCTCTAAAAATACCACCCTGTATCTTCGAAACGGCTGATCCGATCTTAACAAACTCGAGCTAGTTGAAAAGAGCTATTCTTGGGCTACAAACTTTATGATATTTGAAGTTTTGTTAGTTTCACATATGGCCGCTAGAGGGATTGTTTCGATATTCCGACAGAAGTGGTGAATTTTCTCAATAAAATTAAATGCGTTGGTATGTATAAAAAGTAGCTAAATGATGTCTAAATAATCTCGCAAAAACCGGATCTCGATAACTTGATCCTAACATAAACAAACAAGATTTTATACGGAAGTCCCCAAAAAGGTTATTTTGTTATAGTTAGTAATGTAAACAAAAGGCATATTTTTTGTTTAAATGCATATTCACTATAGGTATATACGAAAAAGACAATTGGCCGTGGAATACAACAAAACAACTACTTAATCAAAACACAAATAATCCTCGTAAGTTTTTGCTGACGTCATGGAAAGGCAGTCATCTCCCGATTATGATCTGGACAATGACCTTGACGAGGAACGACAAACTGTAAGATCTGTCAGGAGATATTTCAGAGCGAATGGCGATATTAACAGCAGTACCAACATCGGTGACTCCTTTTCAAAAGATTCTTCAGATGAATCTCAGCATAGCACATCAACGGAATGCTTTGAGATTCTCTTTTGCACACTAGCAGAGCTCCCAGGCCACATTTAGGACCTAAAGGTGCGTAAAGCACCTGGAGAGGATCAAATCACTAACAAAGCACTGAAGTTGCTTTCGCTCAAGGCTTTGACTTATCTGGTGGCAATAACACTGATCAACAGCCAAAAAATATCCTAAATAAAATCAACAAAATATTACTATTTCTAATGTGCTAAAACCGGAATGAAACTTATTTTTTCAATATTAGTTCAAGTTTTAGAGATACGGTAATTATATGTGTTCCTGCTGTGACAGTGTTAATATACTGTAATTCACAAGAATGCACGTGCTACATTTTTATATTCGGCAAGGAAAGATGATGTAATCGGCATGATTGTGTTACGTTATACATACGTGTACTATATTGTTTTATATTAGCCATTTTTTCCTCAGTTGGCTGACAGCGTTCATGCAAGATGTCTCGAAGGTGTGTAAACAATCCAGATCAGTTTTGTTACGTGTGTGGTGATGTGACTTTTGCGTCTCAGAGACGGTCTATTACTCCACTAATAACAAAGGCATATCAGCTTTATTTCGGTTCTAAACTAGGTGATCAAGACAAACAGTGGGCACCCCACATCTGCTGTAATACATGTGCTTCAAGTCTGAGGAGCTGGTTAAAAGGCAAAAAACGGTCTATGCGCTTTGCTGTCCCAATGGTTTGGAGAGAGCCTACAAATCATATTAATGATTGTTACTTTTGCATGGTACCTTGTGTTGGACGAGCCACAGGTATGTCCAAGAAAAAAAAATCAGTTATTAACTACCCAAACATACCATCTGCGATGAGACCTGTGCCTCACAGTGACGAAAATCCTATTCCAAAACCCCCAGAATCCTACACTTGCGAATCAGAAAACGAATCAGATCATACTGATCGAGTGATTCGTCAGGAAGAAGATATGCCATCAACGTCAAGAGATCCTGATTTTATACCGAGCATGTCATGCTACCAACCGCACAAAATAACACAGTCAGAATTAAATGATCTTGTAAGAGATTTAGAACTTCCAAAATGTAAGGCAGAGTTACTTGGATCAAGACTGCAGCAGTGGAACTTGTTAGAAGACGATGTTTCGGTATGTTTTTCGTAAACGCCACAAAGACTTAGAACCATTTTTCAATATGGAGAATAACTTGGTTTTCTGCAGTAACATTAACGGCTTACTGGCGGCTTTAGATATAAACTATAACCCAGAAGAATGGAGATTGTTTATAGACAGTTCAACATTGAGTTTAAAGGCAGTGTTATTGCATATTGGAAATATTTTACCATCTCTTCCTGTAGGGTATGCAGTTCACATGAAAGAATCATATGACAATATGAAGTACCTATTGACGTGCATAAAATACGATGAGCACCAATGGCATATTTGTGGCGATTTGAAAGTTGTTGCACTTTTACTTGGGCTGCAGCTAGGCTACACAGTTTTGCTGTTTTTTGTGTGAATGGGACAGTCGGGCAAAGGCACTTCATTACACCAGACAAAACTGGCCTGTTCGTCATTTCCTACAGCCAGGTCAAAAAAATGTACAGCATATGCCATTAGTAGATTCGAAAAAAAATTTATTACCA